ACTGCCACATTGAGGAGAACCTTGTCAAAACCCAAAGCTAGATCGGGAGCCCACGTAAGACGAAATGTTGTTTGCAACACACAGTGTCAAAATTGCGATAAGAACTATGTGGGTCAGACAGGAAGGTGGCTGTGAACAGGAATGCAAGTGCATAAGAGAGCTTGTAAGAATCACTACGCTTCCTCACTGGTTTCACTACATACGGACGAAGAAGGGCATCGCTTCGATTGGGACAACGCTGGAGTCCTAGCACAAGGAGAAGAACGAAAGGGAATAGAATTTCTAAAAGCACGGTACTCCATGAATCACTCGACAAACGTGCACGTGGAGATTGATCCGGTTTACCAAATGTTAAGACGGAGAGTACAAAAATATCTTAAAAACTGTCGTGGGCGGCTAAACGGAGCCATCAACAATATAACCGCAACAGCCCGGGGCAAAACCATCCCACCGATTGTCCGTGTCTACCAGATAACTTGGGCGGACTGCTGTAGGTCACGAGGCACAGGTCGAAGTCAACTCAAAAGTCACTTGACAGTCGATCCCAGATCGACGACCAAGTCAGCGGATTACATTTAACCCAGCACCGCACTGAGGAAATCATCTCGTCTAGTGATTACTGCTTGGTAGCAGCAAGTAGAGTTTGCTCTGTGTAGTCTCATCTAATGTCACTCAGGGACAAAGACCCGTTATGTTGTGTTGCGCTCAACATATTTTGTGTCGGCAAAGTGTTTGTCCAGGAACTTCTTAAATTGTGACTCCGACTTTGCCTCAACTACGTGTTGCGGTAGGCCGTTCCATACATTCACCACTCTGCGTTCGTAACAGAGTTGGTGAGCGACCCACTTTAAATGCGGTACGACAAGCTTATACCGGTGTCCTGGTGTGCTGCTTGGTGTGCGCAGATGAAGCAGCGATCTCAACATGGGGTAATCTCCCAGATGTAATATCCGGTGTGTCATGATGACGCCAACCCGCATTCGACGATAAGCTAGGGTGTACAGTCCTAGTTTCTTACACCGGTCTTCGTACGGCACACCACATAAGTTGGGAATCAGCCTGGTGGCTACATGCTGCACTCGCTCAGTCATTTTTATTTCGTCCCGGGTGATAGGGCAATGCGCGAGAGAGCCATACTCTATCATTGGTCGTATTATTGAGATGAATAGGCGAGTGGCAATTTCTTCGGACCAAGTGCTGAAGCTGCGCCTGAGCGCCCAAAGCATACGAAGGTTGTTTTGGTAAAGCCTATTCGTGTTGGCCATGGACTTTAAGTCGTGGCATGAGGGTACACCGAGGTCACACACGAAAGACATGGGATGCAACGGTTGAGCAGCCACCGTGTAGGTTCCACTGTGCTCACACTTATCCAGCCTCATGAATTGCGGCTTGACCGGGTTGATCGGAAGGTTGACCTCTGCAGACCACGTGGAGAGGCGGTCAAGGTCCTGTTGAAGCAGGTCACAATCATTGGGTGTGCGAATTACTCTCCACACCTTCAAGTCATCTGCGAACAACACCCAAGTGATTGGAGTAGCTGAGGCACATCGTTTACATGGATGATAAACAAAATCGGCCCCAGTACAGTGCCTTGGGGCACGCCAATGCTCGATGGATACCAGTCGGTTAGATGGTTGTCCACCTGGACCCTCAACTTTCGATCAATAAGGAAATTCCTGAGCCATTGGTGCAGCGAGCCACCAACACCGCACACCGTCAGCCTGTGGAGGGGCACTGCATGATTTACCTTGCCAAAAGCCTTACTGAATTCAATGTAAATGACGTCGACCGATTTGCCTTAATTCAGCGCTTGTAAGAAGAAAGATCAAACACTGTTGAGCATCGTTCTATCGCTTTTAGATGGCGAAACAGTATAACACTACTTGAGACGGTGTTGCGTCAAGATTCTAATTTGGGTAATAGTCTGACAAGAAGTACAACCGAGCGGAGAAGAAAAGGAAACGCAACTAATTGAATTAGAAGTGGAAAATGGTTAGATTGAAGAAACGACTCGATTGAGCCTCAGCAAATGTAAGGGTGGCAGCTTTTGGAAGCTTAATCTAGTGACTCCGATTCTGACAACAACCAGCCACTGCACAATGAATAGTGGCTGCTGATGCTTTAAGCGAGGTGATGGTTGATGTGGCGCACTACTGGAGATGCAGCCTTTGTGGCCTTCGGATACACTTTGGATTCGTGCGTCGAATTTCGTCAAAGTAGAAAGCGTCCGATCCAAGTCAGAGTGCAACCGACTCATTCTTCATCACGCAGGTGTTTTCTGTACTACGCGAACACCATACTTTCGGGTTCATGGAACAGATATCCAAGCTCGTTGAGGAAACGAACAATAAAGATGCGTCACCTGGAGGACCAAACTATTGCGAGAGGGTTATTCATCCGGTCAAGCACGTAATGCTTGCGATTGCCCATTAGGTGAATGCAACACCACTGCAATGTGGCCTAATTGATGTCCCCAGACACAAGCAACAGTGAGCGCGGGATGCATGTTGTTTGTGGTCAAGTGAATCGTGGTACCTTTCGCTGCGATATGCACTAAGTGTTAAACACGGTAAAAGTCAATAGAGGTACTTAGAACCATCGACAAGGAGATACTGACTTCAGCCAGGTGTGAGAGAGGCGACACCGCTGGGCTATGTCTAGGGCACAGTTATTATTTAGGTAAAGCTTCGCGCTTTAAGTCCCCACGCCATTCGCTTGCTTCCGACCAATGGGGCGACAGCGACGGAACTCGTAAGCTTATTATTATTAATACCGTTTTGGTGAAACACATTGAATCGGCTCGACTGCCCCTTACCGCTAATTGATGTTATCATTTGTTGAGTTAAGCAGTCTGAGTGCTCTTTGGAGACATATGTTTAGCCCATAACATTTAGATATATAAGCGCATGCATATTTCATGATGAGTGGGACACATCTGCAATTGGAGACTGGCCATCTGACCACTTTGAGTAACCATGTAAGTTGCGTGGTTGTGAAATATAGGAAAACTTCTAAAGGGTCTTGTTAGCATAATCTAAGCGATTTTGGAAGACGGGATATGTGGGCCCGCGTTCATCACTTCCAGTTCTCTGAGTCGATCTTTAGGTTGGAAATATTCTGGACACATTACTACTCCGATTGAGAGACCGTGTCCGACGCAGCCAAGCTCAACAGTCAGGTTGTATTCACCGGAGCGGTTGACTTGGTGGTTAGTTGGGCGGTGATGCTCAAGACCTAACCTGTACAATAAACTGATAAAGTTTTGAAGGACCAAAGCATCAGGTCGAGTTTTGGTATGATGAATGCTCTGTTTGCTTCTAGTAGGCCCAAGGCAGTTGGATTTTCTCATGTTGATTGTTTCCCCCATCGAGTTTTACCATGCCTTTGTAGAACGATTAAAAGAGAATGGGTTGTGAGATAAGGGAGGTTCCAACATTTATGACACAGATTGAGCGATGAGAATGTCCCCGCCTCGCTATCAGACAAGACACGCTAGATAGCTGAGGAGTAGCATGAGATGAGGCGTTGGGTGTAGCTGTTAACAATGCAATTTGATTAACAGCCTACTCGCATGACGATACTACATAGACTAATGGTTCCATGGAACGGATTAGAGTTGGTCCTTGTTATGCAGTGCATCGTCTTCGTCAGGGTCTTAGCCTCAAACAGTGACAGTGATTCCGCAGTGAAACTAGCTGGGACTGCGAGGAGCTGTATACCTATCTAGAAATGCGTCTGCGTCATCGTACCGAAGGGCGAGTGAAAAGCCAATAGTTGTCGTAACGCGAGTGATGTCAAACGAAGAGGTTGGGTAAAAAACAGGTGCAGTGGCAGTGTGGTTAAATGAAGAATGATCGTTCTTTCTATTCATGTGTTGCCCGGTCTCAGTTTTTGGGGTTTGCGTTGGATATGAGGCGTGTGGATGGTGAGACGTGGATTACCTGGGTCCACCTATAGCGGTAGAAACCCGTGTCCAACAGTAGTTGGAGTGACGAGCAGAGAGGGAAAAGGCTATCATCACAGACGGTTTTACCGATGATAAGTCGACATCGACAAGGCTTTTGCTTTTAACGTAGAAAGTAATGTCTAAAATAGCCAATATCGTATCTAGACGGAATCGAAAGCAGGACAGTGTGTACAGTTCTCCTTCACCCTCATGCGTTTTTACCGCACCATTGTCTAATCACCCTGGGTTTTAGTTAAGCCAATAGCAATTTTGGTGAGTAAAATAAGTAACCAGAGAAGTCGTCACCACGCCCGTCTAGTGATTAGAGGGGTAATGGCACTGATCACCTGGTAGACATCGCACTGTACTATCCTATGTCTGACGAGCCTAGATATTTCAACAGCATGTACTACCGTTGGTTCAAAAAACAAAAACGCCCACTAAAACAGGAAACACTTGTGGACCAGATAGGACGGAGCAGGTAACTAGGCTTACAAGAATGAACAGAATAGGGTCAAACAAGTGGCAGAGTACAATTTCGGACAAATTGGGTTGGCTATGTAATGATTATCAGTGAATGGCACGAACGATGGGAGAAGAACCGATAAGTTGTCGCTGTAAAGGCTACCTTGTAATAATTACTTAGACAAATAGCATAGCACTGAGTGCAATCTAATATAATGCATCTTTCAAGTCTCTACTACGACTACTTAGGCGTCCTACGTAGGGACAGCAAGTAAATATGTTCACGAAGAATCTGAAGTGACGATATAGGGGCTAAATGAGTGGCACAAAACCTTCCATAAGGTGAGGGTAAAAACGGTAAAACCTAAACAGCATGACAAGGTTGCCATGGCGCCACATGATGACTTAAAATTGCCATATGCAGAGGAACCCAACAGTTACGACAACTGATACGTAATGATTAATGGTTGCGACAAATACCATAGTTCATGAGTGTTAATAGCTCCACAACGTAAGGGGACCGGGTAATGACACATAGAGGCTATGCATAACGCCAATGCGATGTGGATATAAGTCAGTGATAAGTTACTTTGTTTTGAGCAACGGGAAGCTTGGGGGATATCCGGTCGTTTGGAGAACTTGTCCCCTTTCGTGTTAGTTCCAATCGGGTTCGTCGATACAGACCATCGTGTTCCATCGTCTCGGATATATTCACCAAGTGAAACTCCCCATAAGAGGCTGAGGGTTGGGACTGATCCTTGGGATCTTCAGGGTCAGTGGGATTTGGGCCACCCAGATCTGACGAGGCGCCCCTCAGTGGATAGAGGAGGAATGGGCTAGATCCAGAAGAATGGGAAGAAGAGACGGAGGCTCTGGATGGCCAGTATGGAGCGCACTTGACTCGCTGTCCCTCTACTATTCTACAATAAATAAATAAATAATTTTATTGCTCGGTATAAAGAGCGACTTGGCCCATGAGGTGCCAGTATTTACACAATATATATCTTCGTGCATATAGACATTCGACAGAAAGAGAGATGGGAACATCTCAACCATTGTGCCACAATACACAATAAAAGGAATAATAAAATGACGCAACACAAGCGTGCCAGCTGGCCCAACAGCAACAGATGAACATCGTTCTGGAAGGCTCTCAGTCGGCTATTGTGCTGCAAAAAGTTACATCAAGTGTCAGAAATGAGATCGTGTCTCGAGGGAAAGGCAAAGCGAGAGGGACAGCTCCTCGTCATGTCAAGCAGTGTATTCCTTCTGTGTTAATTAAAAAATTTGGGGCAATCATTATGGACCATCACTATAATAAACTGTGTGGCCATGGCGTAACTGGGTCGTAGACTGACTCTGTCCGAGGTCCAGCAGCACCAATTGCACTTTCCAATCGCTAATCCGAGGCACATGCCATAATATCCAGTATTTGTATTACAGTAGAACTTCCGCCATATCCTGACCACTACACTAAGTTGACTGGTTTATTTTTCATTGCCTGAACGTGAGCCAGACCAACTGGATCTATGAAACATCAACACCAAAAGCACAATCACTGAAGTGAGCAGGTGTGGTAAGGGGTATACTACGATCGCATATCGGATTGGCGAAGAACACAGGTGAGTAAATGGTACATAGTGGCGAGCTGGGGGAAGTGGAATGCATCTGGTGACATCAGCTACTCGCTACTGTGACCGCAGACAAGGAGAGGAAGTCGGTACCCACCTGCGTCACATACACATTGTGTAAGAATGGGTGCCACGTTGATTTGGAGTCAGTCCATACACCATCAACACCGAGATAGACGAGGTGAACTTGATAACGATGACCAGAGTGCAGCTTCCATTACAATATAGACGCCATATGGGGTCGTTAATGAGATGAAGACTGCGCACTGCTTCCCCCCTATCAACAGCTGGCGGTCTCCTGGTTCCGCAAACCGAGATGGCGAGATCGTAGCTGTGGACACGTTGTCGACTACTCTTAGATGCAGCTAGAGTTAACAAATCACGGATGTCTAGAAGTGATGGCATAAGCTAATCGTTCAAATGCAATCAGACTGAGGCGAAAAGGTACGGCACATATGTGAGACCAGTCCCCAGCACCACTTCAATGCGAATAATGCGCACGCAGGTGTAAAGGAAAGAGTGCATGATAGGTCCGCGTGTTACCTTCGTTTTAAATTGTTTATGCCTTTGGTTACAAAACAACAAGAGGTTTTCCAGAGGATAAAATATAACACTAGTCTATCAAAGCCAGGGCTTAGAAAACAGTTACACACGAATGATAGGTCGAGATCCGGGAATTAGAGGAAAGACGTCTACACTCAACCATTTAGTTAAGTCAGATAAACGGATGGAACACCTAAAACCGATATGCGACACAGTATTTCCTAGGCTATATGGGGCCAGAGTTCGGTAGTTAGTAGGATATCAACACCACAGCTGTTGTGCCATAATACAAAAAGATAAGATACATGCAAAACGATACAAAACATAACAGAAAACAATATAAAATATGAGTAATATAATGTATAGTAGCATATCACGAATCAGGTGTGAGATCGTGGTTGAAGGGTAAAGATAAGTGGGGAGGGGAGAGGGAAAAAGAAACGCATAACATAAACGCTACTGAGGTTGGCTCGTGATCATGTCCACAAGCATATCCAAGAAAACGTGTTCACCGTCATTTGGACCCCAGCAAGGCAGTCGGTATGTACCGATTGATGTCAAGTTCGAAGTGAGGGACTTAATTTCACTTGACTAAGTCTTTGATTGGCCTCTGCTTCTCTTACTTGAAGACCATGGTCGCCAATGCAATGAACGACGAGGGAGTCGGTGTGCTAACATGCGCAACATGTGGCCCAGCAATCGGAGCCTGGTGATTTATATAACGGTGCTGTGGTTCATTCACTTTTACAGCACAAGATACACGACGCCGAACAAGCTGATTGTTCATGAGGTGTTTTCATCAGATGTGAAGTAAACTTTAAGGGCAGCGAGGATCGAACGTAACTAGCCACTTTGTCTCTCGATCTGACGGGCAAGATTTCGCAGTAGTATAAAAGAGTTGAACGCAAAGCTGATTTGTAAACTCTGCGTTTCATGGCGACAGTGATGTCCCATCGGTGCTACAAGTGGCGGAGATTGGCGAAAGCACCGCGAGCGTAGTGTAGATGACCAGGGTATCGATCCTGACAGCATAATTCACCTCCGCTAAACCGTTCCACTGCTTAATGCAAAAGTACGCTCATCTGGTCACGAACATTATATTCTTCATCTTGAGGGGGTAGTAAAAGAAGCTTAATGAAGCAAGGTTTTTGCACAGCCTGCACAAGATCGACCACCAGTAGCTGCACTAAAGGGATTAGGGAAGACAGTATCACTAGGGCTAAGCTAAGCTGGATGAAATTCGTATAGAAACAGCAGACCTGGACATTCAGGATATACCTGATGCACAATAGCAGAGATTAGAAATAATGTTGACCAAACGGTGGACACTGATGAGGGGGTTGAGCGTCTGATTTACGGCCGAGAATAAGAAAACCAACAAAATTGAGACATTTAGGTACATGGAACAGCACAGCGATTCAGACGATGAAATAGTGTTCGAACTGCAAAAGCAGATTACAACATTATCCGGCTATTAGGAAAGTAATTTCGTTTTGCTATGACAATGAAAGACGGTTTTCGTAGGGAATAAATATTTTATTGAATTATATATTGTCTATTCTAGTCTAATACCTTTCACCATCTTTCTGGCAGCAGCATGATTTCAGGTTTATAAAATGTTGCTTCTTTGCTGACAAAAAAACTGCTCCCGGTGATTTTTGACCTCATTTGAAGTTAAAGTTTTACCGACTAAAACATTGTGTATAGATGGGAACAAATAATAAGCAGGTGCAAGATCTGGAAAATATGGTGTTTCAGTATGTCCTATCCAAGTTGTAAAAGCTTTTGGTGAGTTCCAAAGTGTATGAGGCCTCGTATCACTTGGGTGGAGCACTACATCTTTTCTATTGACCGATTCCGGCATTTTCTGTTTAAGTGAATCATTCAATTTGTTCAGCTGATAACAGTACAATTCAGAATTGTTCGTTGTGCTGTCAGGTAGAAGCTAAAAGTACGATTCCTTTGAAACCCACCAAACATCATCTTTCTTTAATGAATATCGGCTTCCTAAGCGGTTTGTGTCGGTTCACATTTTTTACTCCATGACCTCTTGCGTTTAACATTATTATAGGCAACCCATTTCTCGTCCCCAGTGATGGTGCGCCTTAAAAATGGATCACTATTTGGACGTTTGAAAAGTAAATCACAAAAACCAACGCGACGAGAAAAATTTCTTTACATAAACATGAGAAACACTTAAGTCGAGTTTTGAGATTAAAACTAAACGTTTCAAATGATCATGAACGGTCGAATTGGATAAATTTAATCTCTCAGCGACCTCAAGAATTGTTATTCGCCGGTTTGCATTAATTAATGCTTTTATTGTGTCTTCAACAGCTTCAAATGGCCTTCCAGAATGAGGCGCATCAACATCAAAATTGCCGGATCAAAATACTGCAAACTAGTTTTGGCACTGACGTTCTGTCAGTACATGTTCATACACAACAGAGAATTTTTTCCCTGATTGAACAGCATTTTTACCTTTTCGACAGTAAAAAAAGTAAAATATACCGAAAATGATGCTTTTAACTTCCCATATTTGAATGGGGAACCAAGTAAAAAATAATACGTGGAATTAACCGAACCTTCTCACAAGCAAGCCTTGCTATATCAGCCGTCAAAATATATATTACATATGCAGCTTAAGTGTGAAGTTGGCTGTGACAAAATATAAAAGACGAAATTGTTTTCCCAACAACCTAATATGTATGATACTCTACACGTCTGAAAACACTTTTGAATAGTTTCCTCAGCGCCATGCAATTGCTCCTCATCATTTATCCCGAAAACAACATGGTCCGGTTTTCAAATGGAGCTATCTGTCAGGGTACTGCGAAATATTCGATATCCCTTGCAGTTGGAAAATTTGGACACAACTCACAAACAATGGAGAAACTGTGAAAAATATCATTCCAAGCAACAGAATACAGAAAAAACTAGAATTTTGAACTGACGAATACGACATGATAACATGATTTATCTATACCCTGAATTTAGACTGCCCTATGGTGTCATAAAATATTTTGTCACCGCAACAAGACTAGATCTTAATGCAGTGTGATGATTTGCGAACTCCACGATCTAGTGAGCTACGCTGGATGGCAGTTACCAAGTGCCATTAGAGCCACTCGTACTATACAGGTCAATGGTTACGGGTTAGACTGGCTCAATCTCACAATCCAACGCTCTTTGGAGGTTGGGCAGAAGTCGATGGATCGCTCCCCTAAAACCTAGCCAACAGATCTACGGGTTATAAGCTCACGGCTCGACTGGCGTAGAGCACAAGCGCCACGAGTTGTTGCTGACGATGAGAGGGCACCTTCCGGCGCTCAATGGTTTGCTACTGTCCGCCTCAAGTCAGACAGCCTGTAATCAAATCGGTCTAAACCTGCCAACTCTCACCGGCGGCTGGTCGTAGCCGCTGATGTGATGAATGCCCAAGTTGGTCGTCTTTCAGATGCGTAACAATACATGAGGCCACTTCGGAGTCGATGTACGCCGAACAGACACTGGTGATCTATTGCTGCAATTGTGCGCTGAGTGCTAACTTCACCTTGGCAGCACTGCATCCCAGCACAAATGTTCACGCCGCATCACCTGGCGCCCACCGAGTTCCTCAATGAACTGGACCCAAGTTGACCATATTGTCATCAGCTTCAGATGGTGCATATCAGTCCAAGACTGTCCGCCAATTTAAAGCACTGCTTGGATTCTGACCATGCTCTAGTGCGCGCACGCTTGGTGCC